ATATACAAACACACGTATATATATATGATAGTAAAACACATATACACGATGCATATCTCACCTTTTTATACTATATAGTTTACAACAAGATCATAATTTTTTTTATGATTATTGAGTCCAATTTCTCTTTCAAAAAGGGGCATACAAACATTGAAGGAGACAATGCCACGTGTATGCCTCACCCACCATAAAATTAACTCCTCCGACTTTAGATACCACACACGGAGACACATAACCCGAGGAGGTCTAGAGAAAAACGAAATTCACATTCCGTCCAAAGGCCAAAATAAAATTGAAATGGCAACGAAGGGAGTTGCTGCTGCGTGCGTAATATGGAAGCACCGAAGAAACCCTTCTCTTCTTCAATCACTATCGCATCATTTCAATCCCAACTTCAATTCTCGGATCATCCCAAGAGGTACAACAAATCCATTAGAATTCTTCATTTTCTTCTTTACGTATTCAGATCCGTAGCTTTAACTGACGGATATGAATCTTTCCTTTTAGGGTTTGGATATCAAGTTAGGGCGATACAAGGAGCAAGTGTTGGTCCTGTTACACCACCATTGAAGAACCCAAATCCTCAGAATTGGAAAATCAAAATGCTTTACGATGGAGATTGCCCTCTCTGTATGCGTGAGGTCTAAACCCTTCTTTTCCTTGTGTTTTTGCTCTTGTGGAAAGAGTTTTGAAACTGAACCTTTTATTTTTCCATTGTCAAAAGGTTAATATGCTTATGGAGAGGAATGAAAAACATGGAACTATAAAGTTCGTGGACATTAGTTCCAACGATTATTCCCCTGAAGAAAATCAAGGGCTGGACTACAAAACAGTAAATTGTCTATCAATTTTAAACATGATTCAATTATTTTGTCCTCTGTATTTTGATTGAGATAATGTACTTGTTAGGCAATGGGGCAAATCCATGCGATTCAGTCTGATGGGAATGTGGTGACGGGTGTGGAGGTAGGCTTATTGATCTTTGGTGTTTAGGCTAAAATAATCCATTTCGTATAATATTGTTTTTGATGTTTTGGGTGGAATGTTTTCAGGCATTTAGGAGATTGTATGAAGAGGTTGGGCTTGGATGGGTTTACACTATCACCAAATTTGAACCAGTGAGCCAAATTTTACACTCTCTTTCTATCGTGTATTGCTCTGCGTTCACGGATCATTTATACGGTTACTTGCAGTTAGGGAAGGTAGCTGATGCTGTGTATGATTTCTGGGCTAAATATCGACTTCAGGTCACAGGTATATAAAACGACCTGAAAATGCATAAATTTTGTCATGCTTATCATTTGATAGATTATTTGTGCATTAAAACTCGGATATCTTTTGTTGATTAGGGCGGCCATCTATAGATGCTATTCTTGAAGCAAGAAAGAAAACTAAGGTAGGGAGAAAGATAACTCGCAAAATAAAACATGCTTTCGCATCCCTTTTCTCGGAAAAAAACCGATATGATTGTATTTGCTGATTTGCAGGTAGAGACGTGTGGAGACAGCAAGGCGTGCAAGATGTGAATTTTTGCAGATGATAGTTCTTGAATTCTTGCTACGAATACCAAAACCAATTTGGAGTTACTTACATTTTCTTTACTAGCTTTATATGAGTTAGTGCTTGTATTGTATGTAAATCAAACAAGCCCGTTACATATCTTTTTAATAAACAACAAAAAGGTAAAGATTTAGATACAATGGGATAACGATGGTTGTAAGAAAATCAGTTCAAAAGAAAATGGCAAATAAAGATTTTGCCATAACAAGAACAAAGAAGTTTTTTATCCATGTCATTGATGTTATTATTTTTCTGTGTATTTTAATGGGGTTTCTGCAGAAAAAGCCCTCGACAAAGCCCTCGACGATGCCGTTTTCTTCGCCTAGAAATTTTCC